ATGTTCTATGGTGGAAGATCCGTCCTCCCCTGAGAATGCATGAAAGTCGGGTGGTCGAAAATTCCTTGGGAGAGGGTGTTCATGAATGATCCTTTCTGGGAAAGGTCTTTGATATGCAGGGCGGTTAGCCATCTGAGGAGTTAATCCATACTGATCCCTTAATATATGTGCAATCTCATCAGGATCTACATGAAAGCGTTGATGATCAGGAACCTGGAACGGATCCTGCACAGGAATATGAATCGGATCATGTATATATCCTTCAGGCCTGTCCTCCCTTGTATTGTTCGGCTGCGAATTGGTAACCCTTGGTCCCAGTGGAACATTGTTGGGAAAAGTCAAAGGAGTTTTTCCCCGATCCATTCGGTTGGGATTTGTGGCACTTGGGAATGTACTATCCACGAATGATGGCCCTGCGAAATTTGCCTGTGGTCTGGACGGTGACACTCCTGGTGGCGTTTGAGTGGGTTGAAGACTAACCCTTGACAATGCTTGATCTATCATGTTCTGCAACTGACTCTGTTGCTCACGCAACATGTTCGTTTGTTGCTCACGCAACATATTCTGCATAACCAAGGTATGCTGGTTGTTCATTTGTTGAACATAAGACCACCAATCAGTTGGTGGTTGTGGGATGTCCCCGGCATTTGGCACAATGGGTGGTGGAACGGATTCTCCCACCGGTGTCGAAGATGCTTGCGGTTGTGACCCTGCCATATGGACCCTTCCGATGATTCGGCCGGATCTAAGACGTATGAAATTATCGCCGGAATTGGAATGAGCAATTTTGTCTTGCTCCCACTGTGGTCGCCAATTTGTTGATGTAATTTTTCAACAAAAATAAAGTAAAATTCAAAGATATAGAAAATATCCTTAAACTTGATTAATTAGTGCCTGAGATTAGGAATCTCTAAACACTGTATGGTACAGAAAATAAACTGGAAAATAAAAGACTGAAATTTAAAGTGGTGATCCCCAAATCTGACTTTGCTTTGTTGAAGTTGATTGAAGATCCCTTGCCAAATGATGATCCAAATCCTTAAATATTCCCTGGGAAACCGTACTGAAAACCGTCACCCGAACGGTTACAACGTCTCCTTCTCAACCGTCTTCCAACCTTTCTTATGCTGACACGTGTCCCCAGCAGACCAAAAATTCCCTATATTTCACTCCTTGAGCCGACCACAGACCTTCCGCTCTTTTGGCCCGACTGCCAATCTACAATAGTATGGGTCCGACCGCCAATCCTCCCGACTTGCGAACCATCTGGCTTGAGGTCTTTCCGCCTTGAGGACTTCCCGACCTGAAAACCTTCCGACTTGAGGTCTTTCCGCCTTGAGGACTTCCCGACCTGAAAACCTTCCGACTTGAGGTCTTTCCGTCTTGAGGACCTCCCGACCTGAAAACCTTCCGACTTGAGGTCTTTCCGTCTTGAGGACTTCCCGACCTGAAAACCTTCCGACTTGAGGTCCTTCCGTCTTGAGGACCTACCGACCTGAGGTCCGTCCGTCCTAATGACTTTCCGTCTTGAAGACCTACCGACCTGAAGACCTTCCGACCTGAGGTCCTTCCGTCTTGAGGACCTACCGACCTGAGGTCCTTCCGTCCTAATGACTTTCCGTCTTAAGGACCTACTGACCTGAAGACCTTCCGACCTGAGGTCTTTCCGTCCTGAGGACCTACCGACCTGAAGTCCTTCCGTCCTGAGGACCTACCGACCTGAGAACCTTCCGTCCTGTATTTTCCTTAGAAATAAATAAATAAATTTATTTTCCTTGATTTCCTCACGGTGTCCTTCAGCCAGTTCAATCAACCCTATTGCCAGGCCCATTCTTCTTTTTTACCTTGGGCTTTTAACCTAATTCTAAATTTCGTACGTAACAGTTACTATTGAAAGAAACTCATCCCACCCGTGATGTTGAAAGATATTAATTGAACAATCGATTGCTACTGTAATTTATTTTTTGTTCTTTTTTTTTTGATTTATTATACCCATTTATGTTATTTAATAATTTTGTATTCACAAGGTTTTGATGTTTTGAGAGATAGAGTGTCTTCTTATATCATTTCAATACTTTATATAAGCCGTGCAACACGCTAGTTAACATATATAATAATAAGATTAGGATCTATATCATGCATATAAAAATATAAATTATCAATATACAAGTATAAAAATTTACACAATATCTTATCCTTAAAAATTTCATAATTCTTTAATTTTCAAAACATTTCTATCAATGTATTAGCATAAGGTGTGATAAGAAACATTCATTGTTACGAAACTTGAATGAATGTACAACAATCCAATCGATAATTACTAAATAAAATTATGAGACACTTAAAAGGTGTGTTTGTTTGGGGGTTTGGATTTTGAGTTGGGATTCGAATAGTAAAAATTTTGAATTTAAATAGTTGTATGATGTGATATAAATAGGTGTTGATGTGATGTTTTGAATGTAAAATTGATTTTTAGTATAATATAAAAAATAAAAAATAGGTGTTTGATTTGATATTTTTAGGGAAAAAAAATTGGATGAATAGTGTAAATCGAACCCAATCCCCCAAACAAACACACCCTTAAGACATCACTATAATATTACAAGGGATGTATAATTGAAAAGGTGACTTTAGACATTGCATTGATGGTATTTAATAGTATAAACTTATCTTATACTCCCTCGTGCAAATGTGTGCTCATTTGATCGGGCACGGATTTTAATAAAAGTAAATAATAGTTGTTAATTTTTTCTTTTACAGTAAAAAAACAATACGAAAGTAAAATGATTTTTTACTTAAAAAGAAAATGAGAATATTTTTCGATAACAACCGAAAAAGAAAAATAAACATAGATTTAAATGACAGATAGAGGAATAGATATGTGTAATTTTCACCGGCCATCCAAATCAGTTACAATAATCAACTAATATAAGCTACCATAATTTTGACTATTACAATTGTATATGAAATATATATAAAAATTGTTATGACAAACTTGTTCCAAACAATCTTATTTTATATAATCACAAATCTATTCCAATAATCATATCAATATTTTCCGATAGAACAATTATCCAAAAATATTATTAAAAAAATATACAAATATACACACATTAATATAATATATACTATCTCCGTCCATACACAAAGTAAACATTTATTTTTGGTGCTGTGTTTAAAAAATAATAGTATTTTAATTATAGTGGGTGGTTAAAAGTAGTGTAATAATATTTTTGCCCTTACTTTTTTGTGTAAAAGTAATAATGCTGTGTAAAGTAGAGTATTTGTAAAGTGGAGTATTTAATGAAAGGTTTACTTTAATTAGACGCCCCAAAATAGAAATATGTATACTTTATAGATGATGAACGGAGAGAGGGAATATCATTTATTCATCAAAGTCAATCATTCACCATTTTTTGTACTATACAATAAAAAATCAATTAACGTTGAGTGAACATATTGATTATTACTATTATATTATTATATATTTTAAATAATATTTTAGAGAATTGTTTAGAAAATTTGTAAGATTTTATACTATTTATTATTCCCTCGGTCCCATATAATTTGTCCATATTTTATATTTTCGTCCGTCTCATATAATTTGTCTTTTTTTTGGAAATATGATAATACAATTTAATTATATTTTAAATTTTATAATTTTAATTAAACTATTTAGTTACTTTAATCTTAATCTATAATTATTTTTATTATACAATAATTACTTTTATTAATACACTTTTTAATTAGTTACTAATTATATTTTACCTAAATTCTCGTATCTATATCGGATGGAGGGGTAGTTGTCTAAGGATGTGTTTGTTTGAGGATTGGATTTTAATCCCACTATTTATTCCATTTTTTTCCCAAAAAAATCAAATCAAACGCCTATTTTTCATTTTTGTTATTATACTACAAATCAATTTTACATTCAAAACATCGCGTTAACACCTATTTATATCACATCATACAATTATTCAAATTCAAAATTTTTACTATTCAACTTCCAACTCAAAATCCAAACCCCAAACAAACACACCCTAAATAAATATCAAATTCTAAATTTTATTTTAAATTTTTATATTTAAAATATTATATTTTATTTATATCATACTTCATCAGTCCTATATAATATGGGTTTGGCGGATAATAAAAATAATTATTATATAGTAAAAATATTATAAATTAAAGATAACTATAGTTTAATCAATATTTAAAAAATTATAAAATTTTAAATTATAAAATATGATTAAAATATATAATTAATTTTTTTTAAAAAAATTATATATAACTGACAAAAAAAATAAAAAATATGAACAAATTATGGATAGAGATAGTATTTAACAATTATTTAAATTCATATCCCAAATCTCAGGGTGTGTTTGTTCGGGGATTTTCCCCCAAATACACTGTTCATCCAATTTTTTTTTTTTTCATAAAAAAACATCAAATCAAATATCTATTTTTTATTTTTTATATTATATTAAAAATTAATTTTATATTCAAAATATCACATCAAACACTTATTTATATTATATCATACAATTATTTTTTATTATTCAAATCCGAATTAAAAATCCAAAGCCCCGAACAAGCACACCCTAAACAAATACACCCTAAATGAACAAACCTTAGGCCCAATTTTATTGGTAGCAACATTATTAAAAATTTCAAAAAGCAGTGATTAATGCCCAGCTGTCTCCGCCTAACAAATAAAATCAAATGCAACACAAATGACAGCGACATGCAAATGAAATGAATATTCCGTCCCACCCACCGCCGGGGCCTCAGCTCCGCGCATTCATTTGTCCCTTTTCATCTCGACCCACCCCCATAAACAATTAGCCTCAATTTCATCCGTTTCTCAAATTACTCAACTGTAGTCTGTAGATACTGTTTCTCAAACATCTACCTGCCCGAAACGGGGAAGAAAATGACAACCGGCTGATCCGTCGACTCTCGGGTTACGTGAAAAATCTGTTCTCGATCAATTGGTACTTACATTTGAACGTCGGTTTGTTAGGCGAATTTGTTTTTTTCAGTTCAATTTCGCTTCATTTTGCCCTTAATTGTGTGGTTGGAGTGGAGCGAATAGTATCGATTTTTTCTTCGATGAATAATTTGGGCGTTTTTGTAGGGTTTAGGAATTTTCGCGTTTTGTTTGTTTGGAATAATTTAGCCCGTTGAGTCGATTTCGTGTTTAATTTTTGTGGGTGGGTAATTGAGGGTTTATTGAGAAATCTTACACTTGAAACAGTGGTGATATCCAGCTGTGTAATTTTTTAGTTTTTCTGCAGCGAATTTGTATAATTTCCTTCAAATGATTACTCTATATTAGCTTGATCCTGCAGGTGGTTGCCAAACTAATTTCTGTGGTTTTAATGTCTCCAAACCTAAGAGGAAAAAAATACATTTTGGTCTGATGCAGATAGGATACATTTTGGTGTAATGAAGACAGTGTGGTAATTAGCTTCCGCAGGTTTCACTCTTGCTGCAACAGCTTGTATTTTGTGATGTTGCGGTTGGATTGCTGATGCTTTGGTGATTGCCTGCTGGCATAGGCACACACACATATACATACAGGTTGTAAGGATTACAGTGGACTGACTGTGTTGCTGGTAAACATGGGTGCTGCTTGTTGTTGTTTGAGGGATGAATGTGAAGATTTTGCTAATCCAAACAATGCTATTTTTCGGAATTGCATATGCCTTCGATGCTTCATCCAAAACTTTTTCCATTTGGTAATGCATTGCTCTCTTCTGTTGAATACACACACACACATACGTATATGTATATATATAATATGTGTATACGGTATTGACATGTGTTGGTTCTTTTCAGTGATTCAAATGTTATGGTTTGTTACTTTTTCTATAGCCATATGTATTATAGATGTCCTACTCCAACCCTTTTATTGCTGTTTTTGTAGACTCAGCTATTTATATTTCTCTAGTTAAATGTTCTGTTTTCCTATCAATGATCTTTCAACTTGAGATTTTGGAACATTATGCGGTAGGAGAGATTGTCTCGAGCTTCTATGGATAACCCTTTTGATGCTTGATTAGCGGGTTTTCTCTAGATGGAATTATTTATTTAACTGAGTCGGTAGAGTTTCTTCTTTCAATATAAATGTTGCATCCATTAGAAAAGTTATCATAATTAACAGAAATTTTTATCTGCACAAGTATGAATTTTATTTTATATGATTATTTTGTCATGGATGTTCAATGTGTCGACTGTAAAAATTGATATAGTCAAGTGTTGCATGTTTCAGTACTCATCACTGTTCCACAGAGGAGATGAACACGCTTTAACTTCATCTGCTCAGGGAACGACATCCTTAAGCCCAATGTCCTCTGTTGATAACTCTCTAGCTGATACGTTTCGCTCTCCTCCAAGACCTCTTCCTTACGATGCAGATCCCAGGTACTTCCGATTGCAGCGTGATGGACTTGTGTCCCGAAGGGAGAAAGGTTCGAGCCATTCCCATGAGGAAACCGAGCCGTTAAGAGCAAGTGAAGTTGACGAGCAATCTGAGTCTTTGAGTAGCAAGAAGAAATGGAATGAGTTCACATGTGATGAAGATAAAGATTATACTTCAAGATCATCACTGAAGCATACATCAGCTAAAACTACATCAGGGTTTGCTCATATTTATACATCCTCAGAAGATGAAGATGTTTGCCCCACATGTCTTGAAGGTTTGTAATCTAAACCATGTTCTCCCATGTTACTTTGAATCTCAATAAGATGTTTGTTTTATTACCTCTGATGCATTGCAGAATATACTACCGAAAACCCAAAAATAATTACACAATGCTCGCACCATTTTCATCTTGGTTGTATATATGAGTGGATGGAAAGAAGCGACAACTGCCCGGTTTGTGGCAAGGTAATGCCTGCTTACTAACTCGTCCTTCCCTTTAGTATCGTAAATTCCATTATACTTTTGTGTGTGGTTTAGTAGAAAATCTTTATTCTTTCTTTCTGGATTTGAGCTTTTGTTTAAATTATATTTTGATGCGTATTTTGTGAGAGAAAATATTTTAATATATGTAAATTCCATTATACTTTTGTGTGTGGTTTAGTACAAAATCAACATCACTTTCTCAGAAAGGACTGTAAATCTTTAGAAAGCACCGTTCAATTGTTGTGATTGCATAAATCAAAAGTTCAGATAGCATCATAGATATTTGTATAGGAGCACAATATATATTCTATAGAGCGCTTCTAAAGCAACAAATCTACTTGTTAGAGCACCAATTTAAAAAACAAACAGATGACACATAATTCTTAATTCAAGAACATAGTGCTATCTTGCTATCTGGACTATTTGGTGCTCTCCGGATATTTACTTTGTGCTTTCGGGGAAAATCAGCACGGTGCTGGCGTTTAAGGCGTCAGCACTGTAACCAAAGCACTCGTATTTTGATGTGATATTTTGTGAGAAAAAATAATGTATCTATATTGAGAAAAAAAACATATCCTTAATCCTCGTATGGGATTACATTTTTGAGTTGCAGTCCAAATATACTAATTTGTCCCAAGTTTTCAGAGGAAAAATGTTAAATATGCATTCTCAATTGCAATGGTGTGCAATTTTGTGTAGAATTTTTAACAAAATATAGATAGATTTTTTGGAATTTCTTAACTAGGATGAAAGATTGATGACATTTGACTTGGGTGTATTAGAACTTACCCTTCTTCTATATGTATTGTATTTAGCTATCTTCTGAAATATCATAATGCTTGGCTTCATTTGTAGATGATGGCGTTCGATGAGACGACAGCTTGATCTTTCTGGCCTTCCTACAGCTCGTCGTGGATGAAGCCAACCGCCTACAGAAACAAGAATAAAAGATAAAGAATCAGACAGTGTAAAAAGCTATTTGTGTATGTATATACTATACCCTACCTTGCTGAAAAATGTTGTTAAACGATGATGCTACTCTGTTAGACTTGTTTCTCTATTGTTGTATTTTTCAAAAAAGTTCGGAAATTGGTTTCATGTGGAAGGATGATATATGTTTACTACTGGATTGATGATTATGAATTTAAGGGTTGGGGCATTGGCCATGAAGTATTACTTTTTCCTATAAAATGATTCATCTTATATATGTAGTGTAGATGTGACAAAATACAAAGTTACTAATTTTATTTTTATAGTAATTATAGATTTTTTTATTTCTATAAATATCTTATTTTATTGATACGGCAAGTGACCTAAGGCAATCGAGGGTTTGAACTCATGACCTCATGGTTATAAATTCAACCCCTACACCACCAGGTCATTCTTTAAGGACTTGTTGTGGTATTTTTTCATTATACCATGTATTGCAATTTTTACATTTGCATGGAACTTGTTACACTGACCTTCACATAATTTCAATCCATTATTCATTTTTAAACTCGATATATATATATTTTTTTAATTTTCAACAAACACTTTGAAAATTTTGAATTTCAGGAATTTTTTCATCCTTGTGCTTCAAATGATATACTCAAACATATTTTAAATACATACTTATTCAGTTATTTAATTGTTTTATTGATTTCTTGAAAACCAATTTATTTTAATACAATTAATAAAAGTAAAATAAAAATAAATTCAGAAACACAACCAATCAATTCATACTAATATTAATATGCCTATATTTTTGGAGAAAAAAACTGTGCTGTGATAAATGGGAGGTACCGGGACCGTGCGAATATGGGGAAATCCAGACCGTTAAACTGTGGGGTCTGTTTCATAATTTGTACGGATTTTTCTGGTGTTGGAAGTCCCGGGAGGTTTCAGGGGACACCCAAAAATATCAACACGTGCACTACAAACTACCTATTTGCTTGGAAGGCCGGTAAGAAGTTTTTCTACAATTAGTCTATCGTTGGATTTCTTGGTTGCTCTCTTCAATTCCCTGAATTGATGCGATAATCAGTCCTCAATCGTCTACGGTCCGTCGTCATCGAGTCTCGACAATTGGAGGGAGTGCGGATATGGAGATTGACGAGATTCTGGGGGAATCTAAGCACACAAGGATTCCGACAAAGAGTGTCATTTACATTTGGGGATACAACCAGTCGGGCCAAACGGGTCGGAGGGACAAAGAGGGGAATCTGCGCATCCCGAAGCAGCTGCCGCCGGACCTATTCGGTTGTCCCGCCGTCGGTGGAAATTCGCGGTGGCTGGATATCGCTTGTGGTCGCGAACACACTGCAGCTGTGGCCTCCGACGGCTCGCTCTTCACATGGGGTACGGTTGCGTTGTTCTTCCATTTTGCTGCAGTTTATTTCTCCAGTTATTACCCAATTCTTGGCGGATTGAATAATTAGGGTTAGGGTTACCTGGATTTAGTATTAATTTGATTGGTTTGGGGGTAATTAAGTTCTTGAATTTGAGATAGATTGATGTATTGATTTTAGTGTTTGAAGTATTTGTGTTTCAGATTGGTTCTTGACTTTGTGTGAATTAGTGATTTTCTTTTTCTTTTCTTTTTTCTTTTTTTTTTTTAATTTTTTGGAAATTGTAAACAGGAGCTAATGAATATGGACAGCTGGGGGATGGGACTGAAAGGGGCAGAAAGTACCCAAAGAAGGTGAAGAATTTGCAATCTGAATTTGTGATATCTGTGTCCTGTGGAGCACATTGCACTGCTGCAATTGCCGAGGCGCGGGGAGAAGAAGAAGGGTCTGTACCTAAGAGGAGAATGTGGGTATGGGGGCAAAATCAGGTGGGTTTGTTATTCATGTTCTTGAACAATTTATATATATATATATATATGTGTGTGTGTGTATGTATATAAGTTTACACGACACTGCTATTACCGGATATTTGTTTCCACCGAGCATCACTTAAATTCGAAAATTAAGAATCTGCGAAATCATCCTTCTACTATTTTAGGTCAATCAACATCATATCTATATGATGGAAAATGAAAAAGATGTCTCTCTACTCACTAGTTACTGTTTTGGTTTAATATTTCAGCTTGTAGTCTGTGTAATGATATCATTCTATTTCTAGTTTAGTATATTTCTCTTCATACTATTTACATGTGGAGTTAAAAATAAAAAATAAAAAAATTTAATGACTGTGAGTTTCTTCTAGATAGGAAGCTTTCTAGATAATGTCAGAAGTTACTGTTAGAACATGACTACGAATTATGCATTAAAACATTTGGAGTTTCTGTCTAAGCCTAAAGTTTAATTTGAAAAATTGTATTGTATTGCCTTTGTGGCTAATGTATTGTTTATCATCGTAAAGTTGAATGAGTAGTCTTTTCTTCTATAATTTTGTTCTTAATATGACATTTATGTTGAATTAATTTTGTATTCCACCTTACCAGGGTTCCAATTATCCACGCCTCTTTTGGGGAGCGTTCGATTCAAACAAGGTACCATGTCATTTTCATTCCACAACACTCACTCTATGCATTGATTGACCTGTAACATCGTAAATGGGATGCTTAGTTGAGACAGTTGTTGTATGGTATATCTATTTGGATTTTCTCATCTCATTGCACGGTCTTTTTAAATTTTTTTTTTTGCATTTGTAGCTTATATAACAACCCACTTACACATATATGGTCTTCAAACCATTCTCGAAATTATGTGTTATGATTTTCATGTGTTAATACCAAATTTGTTTGTTTCTCAAGTGTAAGCTTCTATCTTGTTTTCCTTTATCTTCCTGGTATGTAATTCTTGCCAATGTAGACTGCCGTTTTTTTAATTTTATGCTGCTGATTAATTATTTCACTCACACTATAATCATTCAAGGTTGTTCAAGTTTCTTGTGGTGCTGCTCATGTGGTTGCTCTGTCAGAAGATGGATTCCTTCAAGCATGGGGTAATGTCCGATATGTCCCATATTTACCAATTGTGCCCGGTGTGTTTGTTCGATTCATGCTTGTTAAGAAGACATGTATTTTATAAATCTTTGTTAATGCCTGTCGTGCTTGTTTATTACTTTATCTTTGTTTGTTATCTTCGACACATGAAAAATGTAAGGCCAGAGCTATTCAACTTGAATGTTTCGCATTTTATTAACCTTAGTTTTGTAACTGATCTGGTAAATCAGGCTATAATGAATATGGTCAGCTTGGGAGAGGCATTACATGTGAAGGCCTTCAGGGGGCTGGAATAATTTACAGTTATGCTAGGTTCCTTGATGAAGTACCCAAAAGTGTGACGATTACCCAGGTTTCATGTGGAGAGTACCATACTGCAGCTATATCAAATGAAGGCGAGGTGTAAGTGTTCCACCGGATCTTCTGATCAAGATACATGCTTCTGTTAGGCATATGAGTTGGGGTGTGAGTTGTCCAAATGGCTTGGGTTATCAGAAAATTTAGGACAAGCATTATAATGGGGCGTTCAAGTTTGAGGCTGGGTTGCTTGGTTGACTTCTGCTCGTTCCTATTCTATCTATCTATCTATCTATCTATCTATCTATCTATCTATATATATATATGTATTTAGTTTGCTAATCGGAATGATATGCCTGCACTGGAAAATCCAAGGAAAAGGTTTTTACCAATGAGGACTGCATAGTTACACTGGTCATGTAGTGAAATAGATTAACGTTTCTTGGAAAGCTATATTAGATGGATCTCTTAAATCTTGAAGGTTATAAATCTATTCTCGAAGGTTTTAGTTGTTAAATACTCCTAAGTACATGCTCAAAATTTGTGCTAGTGTTACCGGCAGAACCATATGCTAAAAGTAGCTGACTATTGATGCTAACATTTGCATTCTATTTGAGTGATAGAATTGAGTCTATGTCTCGAGACATTTGTGTCTATTTGCTTCAACTTACACACCTTTCTCATGATCTTTCTTCCCCTGTTTTTATCCTTAAATTTCATCTTCCATTTTTGTTGGTGGTTTGTAACTATGGAGGTATCAACTTAGCTTTCATGTTTCTTCCCATGATTCCAAGAATAGGTGAATTCAAGTAGTTAGTTTTTAGAGGACGTCAAATATAAATTACCAAATTTATTAATCCTAGATTTCCGAACACTAGAACCATCCATTCAACTCTACTCAGGTACATAGAAATGGGCTTTCCTTTAGCTTTTTCTTCGATGGAGCTGATCTTTATTGGCTTTTTACCCTTTTTTACCCTTTTTTACGAGTTATGTTAATAATAGCCTCGTAACTTTTACTTAACATTGCAGCTATACCTGGGGTCTTGGAAGCATGGGCCAACTAGGACATTGTTCTCTTCAATCTGTCGATAAAGAACTCTTGCCTAGGCGTGTAGTCGCCCTAGATGGGATTTTCATTAAGGAAGTCGCATGCGGTGGCGTGCATACGTCTGCTTTGACCGAGAAAGGAGGGCTGTATGCTTGGGGGGGTGGTCAGGCAGGGCAGTTAGGTCTCGGCCCCCTAAATGGATTCTTTTCTTGCACACCTAATGTGTCGCAAAACATGCTCAGGAACTTACCAGTTTTGGTGATCCCTGATGGAGTGAAGCTCGTCTGCTGCGGTCATTCTCATACTCTTGTATGTAATAAGGAAGGTCGGATATATGGATGGGGTTACAACAACTACGGCCAGGCAGCTAACGAGAAGACTACTTACGCATGGTACCCTTCTCCGGTTGATTGGTAGGGAAAATGATATTACTTTTACATCCATCGTAAATTGTATGAAATGATGACAGAAATTACAACTGATCGAAGCTTTTTTTACTTTTTCGTTTAGGTGTGTTGGGGAAGTTCGGAAATTAACTGCTGGAGGTGGGCATTCAGCAGTGTTGACGGATGCGTATTCTTTGAAGGAGCTTTGTGAGTTTTCATTGGCAAACAGTGTGACTCTATCGAATGCATCGGAGATTGAGGATATAGCGTTAAGAACTGGCTCTGATTCTTTAGCTCGGTATTGTGAACGAATAAGGTAGTAAAAATGTGTTGTCTTTTTGAAAGTTTATTGGATCCCATTAAACATTTTCCCCGTTGTGATGGTGCAGGGAGCATTTGTTGAACGGTGGAGATTCGATTTACGGAGGGCTTAGCTGAAATCGCAATTTGAATTGATGGTACAGCTTAAATTTGCCCTCCAGTTTTAATTTTCTTGATGTAGAAAGGAATTATCTTGTGTTAGGAAAGTAGGGATTTTATCTTTTGTGTAACTTGAAACTGTACATGTTGTTATGTTGTATTGGCGATGAACTCATCGATGATGATCGCCGGTTGGGGTTTCCGGCCTCGAAGGAATTAATAAAGAATATGTCTGTAAATTTTAGGATCATCCATTCGACTGGTTTTGATCTTTAGGAAGATACAATTGTAAGGAACAATAAAGACATGTTTTGATTGTAAGTTGAATTGTGGTTCAAGACATCTTGATCTTGATGTATATACTCCAAAATATATAGGTTTTGTTGTTTTTTTGGATTCTACTCCAAACTTTTACTATTCAAATTTTTATTTATTTATTTATTTTTTTGTTTAAATATAGCATCAAACAGTTACTTTTTATGTGTGGCAGGGATCTGTAGTCGTCGAGGCCATCCGTTAGGGGATGACATCTATTATACTTAGTTGAGTGCTTGTTTGCTTTCTTTGCATATTTTGTGCTTGCTTGTGAGTTGTACTAGCAAGATTCTAATGCGAATATGAGTTAGATATTTGGTTAAATAATACCAAAAATTTAAAATAAATAAATAAATGCATATATGTAAAGCTAATTGGAAAGTTTTGAAGAATTTTATAAATAATAAACAATTACATATATGATGTAAAATTAAGTAAAAGTAGATATTTATTGTAATAATTTTTTAAGAAAAATTGTTCTATAGTAAATAATGCCAAAATTTAAATTTTGTTTGCCCAAGATTTTTTTTTTTCCCTCGACTTTCAATAAAAAATAAAGATCTGATTTGATAGCAAAATTTTTGTCACAGTGTTAAAAGAAAATTTATTGGATAAATTCACCGACTATAACCGGCAAAATGCGGAGATATCATTAGTTAGAATGGAATGTATCTACGGTTGTACGTACAACTCGTAGTCGAACCCGTGGGAATCACCAAAATGGGATCCAATGTTTTGACAATGTCATAAGTATTCAATACTGCGCACGTTTCTATCTGTTTACGGAAGATGATGACGGACACGGACACGTGTCGACTAGATGATGTTCAATGCAGTCTTCTGTTGATCCGATTTTTTACTGTACAGCCCTTAAATTAATTAACGCAGTAAAAATTTACTTACCATTCGAGAATCCCACATCGGCTGTGGAAACCGATATTTTTTATTATATGAACAAGAATTTGGAAAGCAAAACGTAATTCACAGAGGGTGTGGTGGCGGGATCTGCGCGCGCTCTGCGAACCCTAAACCCGTCTCTGCCGGCAGGTTCGGAGGCAATGTGAAGGGGTTGTTTCTCCGGCGGTTTTCCCCTGAAACAAATAAAAACACCGACGCCCTGCGCGCGCAGCGCCCGCATGTGTCGCCGCCGGTTGGCTCGAAGGTGGCGCTGCCGATTGATAGATATATGATATCTTCGTCTGCAGTTGCTGGTTGTCCTCGCCTCTCGGAGCACCCTCATTTTTTGTCTGGTTTCTTTCTGATACCGAATTTTCTGTTCTCATTTAATTTAGCTTCTTCTTCAGTTTTGGTTTGTTATTTGCGTATCGACATTGAGGATTGATGCAAAATTCATGTCTATTCTCATTTAGCTGCTTCTTCAGTTTTGGTTTGTTATTTGCGCATCGACATTGAGGATTGATGCAAAATTCATGACTGTTCTCATTTAATTTAGCTTCTTCTTCAGTTCTGGTTTGTTATTTGCGTATCGACATTGAGGATTGATGAAAAATTCATGACTTATTAGTAAATTTCATTCTTATTGCATATTTGTTGAGCTAAATGGTTTCTGAATTTCTCTAATGCTCATTTTTGTACATCCGAAAAAGCTACTCTGATCGACATTGAGGATTGATGGAAATTTCAGTGCAAATGAAAAAGTGGCTGAAATCTTCTTCTTCTTTTTCTTCTTCGTAATTTCATTTTTATTCATATGAAGGTAAATTTGTTGTGCTAAACGGTTTCTGAATTTCTCTAATGCTCGTGTTAGCCGAAAAATTTTACATCCGCAAAGCTACTCTGATCGACATTGAGGATTGATGAAAAGTTCAGTACGAAATAGATATTGGCTGAATTCCTCTTCTTCTTAGTAATTTCTTTTCACTGCATATGCACGTAATTTTGTTGTGCTAAACGGTTTCTGAATTTCTCTAATGCTCGTGTTAGCCGAAAATTTTTGTACATCCGAAAAATCTACTCTGATCCGCTGGGTCAATTTGGTTGCCTCACTCTGTACATTGTTATTTTGGGTGTTAGCGTGCAGAAACCCTAATGCGAAGCCCGTTTGGCGCTTCAACTCTCGGAAATTTCATAAGCTTGTCTCCACCGACTTCCTTCCATGTGTATTTGGTCACAAAATAATGAAGGAATGTGGAAATCTCGGCCAGTCCTAGTTCTTTCCCGGGGCATTGCCTGGTGCCTCCTCCGAAAATCAGGAACTGGTGTTGATGTTCTAGGCCTTTATCCTACATTTCATTACATTCATTATAAATGTCGTTAGTTTAAGGTTATGAGAGTTTATATTGAAATTATTATTAGCTTAGCATTTGTGAGTACTAACCAGCCATCTCCATGGATTGAAGGCTAGGGGATCAGGATAGAGATGTGGATCATAGTTAACTTCTCGCGTGTAGACGTATATCCTCCACCCTTTAGGAATGGTGTATCCTGAAATTGAAAGAATCAGGTAAGTGATACAGAACTGTTTCATAGGATTAGTGTTTAATAGCAGAAGAAACTACAAATCTATTGTTGGTTTTTTAAAAATTTCATTTTAGAGGGCGTTAAACGTTTTAATTACAAGTTTTCTGTATTGGAAGGGATATGGAATTGATATCCCTTTTCTCTTATCCAAAAGCATAGACAAAATAATTGGCTCGGGCAAGAGACGGGTCATCAGTGGATGTCTTAGGCTGGAATGATAGGTTTTCCATGTGGATCATGATAGGGGTAGGGTCCATGTTCATATTTATTTATTTTTATTTCTTATCCCATGATTGCTCCTGCATGCATCCCTCCCCTGGCTTTTCTTTAATTTATTTCATTTTCAAAAAGATGAATACTTTGATTATTACAGGTTGAACTGCTGCTAGTAATTTCAGATTTTTCCTGCGTGCTGCTAATTCATTAAGAAAGCAACGGGGAAAAAGCTCTAATTATTGAAGAAAGATTGTTTGTGGGTACCATTTATTTCCATATCTCTAGTTGTTTTCCTCAGAACTCCATTCACTATTGTGGCTAGTCTTGATGTCTCATATATGACCTGCACTTGGAGTGAGAGGCAAATGTCAATTAGCTCAAGATTATAGTATTACAGTAACTGTCGTTGTGTGACAAAGCAATCACTACTACTTACCGCACGTGTGAAGCGCATGGATTTGTAGTCATTGTAATCTATAGGATCCTCAGGTCCTTTTCTTTCTCTTATTGCTATATGTTCCTTCTGAAAGATTTAAACATGAGTTAGGATCTGTGACTGACTGTTATTGAAACATAGACATTGCAATATTGAAAATCTCCACTTACTCTCAATTCTTCGAGTACTTTTGGATGATCATGAAGATACTTGACTGCCATCATAGAAGTAGTTGACACAGTCTCATATCCAGAGTAGAGAATTGTGATGATTAGGTCAATCATCTCCTCGTCGCATAGCTTGTATTTATTTTCTCCACCCACTAGGTAACCAAGCATGTCCTGTTGATTTTCACCTGATGATCTTCTTTCTTCTATCAGTTGTCTCAAGAAGGTTGTAATGTTCTGTCTTGCCTGTGATGAATTTAAGTAAAGTTCTTAGCATACCCGAATAATTTTGAAACAAATTAGAAGAAGCTCAAGGATGTTTACCTGAAGTCCTTGACGATAGTTTGTGTTGGGAAGATTGATGGGGAGTGAAATAGTCCCTAACACCAGTTTGAAGAAATCAGGCATGAATGCTTGAGATATACCACCAGCTTCATTGCTTGCTATTTGCCTTAGAGATGATAGGAAGGCCATCTGAAAAGTTAATGATCGATTGTTTTAATTTCATGTCAAAAGTGGGAAAAGTAAATCATAGGTTGGATTGGATCTACATTTTTTTTTTTTTTTTTGAAAATTACGAACCTCTTTAGTTTTCTCCTGAATGTCCACAATTTGGTTATCCCATTTACTGAGATGGGATCTCATGAAATCATCGATTTTTGGCAGGAGTTGATCCTTAATCATGGAAGGGCTGATGAGAGAAAGCAATGCTCCTCTCATATGCTTGTGGGCAGAGCCATGGACAGCTGCAATATTGCATTTCCCTAAGATGTCCAACATTGACTGGGGATAACCAGGGACAAGGCCTTTAGCTTCATTCACCAGGATGTACCTGTTAAGCTCTGGATCCATTGAAACAATGGTGGGACATCCCAGTATATGCGATTTGAAGAAGCTTCCAAACCTATAGAAACACGGAAATGGTTAGTCAAGCATCCTCAACAACTGTAAGATCATTACCGGTTTGACTGATCGCATGTGTTTTTTACAGTTTTCTCTATATTGGCTATTATACTCATCTTAACATGCATAATCCTTTTTGTGATTAACGTGCAGAAAGATTGGATTGGAGATTGGAAAAATCAGAAACAAGATTAATCTCTTATTTTTTGCAGAAAGAATGATATAGGGGAAACCTTGATCTCTGGCTTTTCATGAAGCCTGGACCTTGCTTTAGAAACTCCGTAGTCTCCCCAAAAACTGGCCACCCCATGGTGCCAGGAGGCAATCCTTTCTTCCTGTACCTGACCTCATTCCATCTCAGTAAAGCAATACTCAAGATGCATAGGCCCCAAAAGGCCCCCAGGATCACAAGTAAGGCAGCCATTAATTCTCTTTGTTTCTAGAAACTCTCTCTCTATGGCTATTGTAGAAAGTGTGAGGGGGAAGGGGGGAAGAGCTTTGAAAGCTATGTGATTTGCTCTAGTTTGTACGGGCTGGTCATGAGCTCGTGCGGGTCTTTATATAGAGCTTATGAAATCTATGAATTATGGAGAGAGGAAATGGGGTAGGGGTGGGGTTGGGGGTTGATAATACGCCAAATCATGCATGCTAAGGGGGGAGGGACCTGGCTAAGCTTAGCTTAGCACCCCAGTCTTTTAGATTATTTAAAAACTAAAATAAAAAAATTAATGAATAAATGGTGGTATTAAATTTTATATTAAAAAAGTAATTATAGTAAGGATGTCATAACTTTTTAAAGAATTGCGAACACTGAAAATATAATTGAATAGTGCTTAAATGAAAGGCATGGTACAATATCTCGGCATCTATATAAATATAGTTATTAATTAATAATAATATTTTATACGCATAAGAGTATATTTAATTAATACTCCTCGTAAGCACGGCCTTCATTCTATAGGTTCATCGAAGTTGCAGCAGTAAATTTTTTTAGCCAATCACTTTGATATGTTGTATATATAATATATGTATATACATATGTTTTTTTAATCCACAGCATTGGTTGTCATTATTAATCATTTTGTTATTATCCAGCTTCTTTTATAAAGTGCTGGAGCCTGGAGGGAAAGTTTTGTTTAATGAATCACTCTACACCATATGCTGCGATGAAGTTCCTCAATAATTCATTCATGAGCTTTTAACAGGTTAATTCTAATTGTTAACTGGAAAATGTATATATTTGTATTTTCTCCATCTGTTGAATATTTAAATGTATAGCTCTTGTATTCATTTTTGTCCCATTACTGGATATTTATTAAACTTTTATGGGGCAGTGCTGGAGAGAAGCTCCATTTGACTGATATATGTTTGAAACCATAGTGGAGCACATGGACACCACCCTAGTAGAAGCATAGCCCTGCTGCTAACTAGTTCACATGTCTGCCAATTAGATCTGCACACTAATTGACATTTCTTGGTTAGTGAGTGTGAATGTGAATGCTTAATTCATGGAGTAACCGATACTATGCCAATGAATAGGAGAGTGTAAATACACTATGCATTTTTTTCCTTTTCAATATTCTAAGTTAGAACAATGAAGTCTGCAACTGTAAACTGTAGATCCTGTTTAAATTTAACTTCTCCCGTGAAAATTGACCCTTGACTGTGTTTTGCCTCACTTCCGCTTTCTAGCTTTATGCCATTGTTCCCCATGTTCTAATCTTGCTCATAAGTCAAAATGCAATGACTTTTTTGAGCCTTGTGCAGAGGGAGACTATAAATTATATAGATCAGAGGAAGAACCCTTTTCCCTGCTGAGTAATGGTAATCCACTAAGCTTGATTTATGATTGGATTTAGTGAGAGAATATGATAGAAGTTTGCAATCTTGCTAATCAAACCCAAATTTATTGAAAGTGACCCTAGATTTGTTTTCTTTCAGTCACGCATGCCCACTAAACCACATTCACATTCAAGTTCTATCTCTTGGGCAGAGCTCATTTTCTTTTTCAGTTATTTGTATGTTTCTTTCGATAGATTTGATAAAATTTTGGTTTGAGTTCGATATTAAAATAATGTATGATGAGATGCTTTTTATGAGAATTCAAATAATAAAAACCTAATATTTGGAGGCAAAAGAAACAAATTTTTTACTACAAGCATGTTCTTTATGCCTAACAATGCTTCATTTGATTTGCTTTGACTAAATTAAGCCCCTTATCTTAGCATAGAAAACATAACCATAGTTACAACAGGTGTTCCATAGCATAGTTGGGACTACATTTTTTTTTTTTTAATCTTTTGATGTGCATAAAAATGACAAAGGTAGAAGTTAGGTATTCGTTGAATACAAAGGATAAAACAAAATATGCTGTGCACAGTCTCTCTACGGAAAATAAGAAGAAAAAAACAGATGCATGTTTAAATGTGTGTGTGGAAAATATGGATATCGATGGATGGATGTGTTGCATTTGATATTGAGCAAAAAAAGGCATGCAAATGGGTGACGCCGTACACAAAAGCGTACATGCTTGACTAGTCTCATCAGTAGGTAAGATCATTTGTAATATGTGTATACATACTCCTAAGACAGGATGGTTTGTCTTGTAATTCTCATTTACTATTAATTTTCTTCTCCTCTCTCATCTTTATTTATTGACTTTCAGTTGATACTGATGCCTTGTCATAAGGTGTCATTAAAGGTGGGCCGGACAATGACGTGAAGAGAAGTGTGGATCCTTGAGAAGATACTCAGAAAGGGATTTGACGCAACTGACACAGTGTGCCTTTTGCACTTGAAAGAAATTTTTTGGTAATCATCCATCCCTCACTAGAGGTTTTTTTAAGGTACGTGTTATTTTACAATTTCATTTCTGCCATTCCAATAGGAAAATTTAAGTATGAATTGAGTTTCATTCATGATTAAGTTGAGATGATTAGAACCCTTGAAGCTTTTTATTTTTAGTTGTTTTCTGCACAGATAACTTGTTAGTCTTACTGATATTAAGCTACAATTTCTTGTTAGTTTTTAGAGAGAACAGAAAAAAAGGATATTGCCGACAATAATAGAAATTGAGGAGGTAGGAAATAAGACCTGTAAATATTATAGTATTTAAATTTGGAAAATAGAATGGTGGGGCATAAGAAAATGGTGGTAGCAAAAAGATGAACACGGAAACTACAGAAGGAAACAGACAATTTAGGATGGAAAAGGTTGCATATACAAACAATAATAATATAGAGAGAGAGAGAGAGAGAGGAAGAGAGAGATGAATGTTTAGTGAGAGGCACACATGCAGAGCTTAACTGGAGAGACGTATTTGCTTCATTAAATGTGTGATATGCAATCAAAACTCCAGAGGTGCACGGGGGCCTCCATTTTGTTTGTTTCTGCTTTTTGCTAAAGTTGGTACCCATCCCTTCCTCTCCCTACCATTATTTTCCTCCTTCCAAATTATTGCATACATTTCTCCAATTTCATGCATTATATTCTGAATAATGTCTCCCATAAAACGATAAATAAGCCATTCTGGATATATACTAACCCCTTGCCGACTCCTTGTTTCTTTATATTGTTAATTTTCTAGTGTCATCATAATTTATTCAAGATCACGAGTCAGGGTGTTGATAGTGTACACATTATAGTAACGAATTATAGCTTCTACAAAATGCCTATATGATCCAATTTATTGTTGAATTAATTTATATAGATTTTCAATTCTAGTTATAATTCCAACAGTTCATACCCATTAATTATTAAAGACTGCTTTGTTTGTTTTGTTGTAATACAACAACAACAATAATAATTATAATAATGTTCAGAGAAGACATTGATCTGTAACAGTAAAACCTTCATTGTTGGTCTTTTGCTGTGATGGTTGACGTATATCTAAATGCATATATAGATATAAACAATCGGTACGATTGAATTCTTTTGGTACAGGAAATTAATGTTTGTTCTATAGGGTGGGTCAAGAAAATTAATGTCATAGGTCCTATTGTTTAGTTGAAATTTCCATTAGAAGCATCCTACTTGATTGGTTATGGTATCAATTTTTGTCCATCCATATCAGATGATTGCCAATGGATATATACATATATGCAATCTATCACCTCATCTTCTTACACATATATTAATCCCTGAACTATTATCTGGTCATTCTATCTAGCTGGTAAATTAACAAGTCACGCTTTGGTACAGAGGGTAAAGATATTGACTCTTGGGTCATATCTCGTGAGTCTGTGTGTCTGCCATATATTCCTATTATATCTATTTATCATTGTGTAAGAAGGCATATTCTGACTATGTTTATTTACAAACATAGGGTACAGAAAAACAGTGTGAGGTTACAGCCACAGGGATTGTTTTTGTTTTTATTTCTATTTATTGTATATAATTGAAATAGAAGTATTACTGTTGTATTACCCTGAAATTGGAATTGGAATTGGAATTGGAATTGAAGAAGATATGTGTGAGTGAGTTATTGCGTACGTGTGGCATTGAGAGGGACAGAGGTTGAAACATGGGCCTCTGATGATTGACTGCACGTGTGGGAGATGCATCCACGTGCACTCGTTTTTATTCACTTCACTGGGAATTGAATTGAATTGATTGGATTTTGTCCTTTTCCCCCTCCCTCACCATTATTGCCTTTCCTGCTCATCTTTTATTCTCCCCCCCATCCATCAATGGTCTCACCTAATTCGGACTTTAATTGATCATTTATTTATTTATTATTATTATTATTTGATTAAATTCATTCCCTCACGTCATTGAGAATAATACTTACTAATTTTTTTATTTATGTCTATATCACTTTGACTTGATTGAATTGAACATTTGAACCTAGCTCGCTTCTGTATAATTTGAAAATTTCGATCACGATAAATGATTAGATAAAAAAAGAAAGAAAAAGGAGTTTGTTGCTTCTGCTTTCTTTCATTTGGATTGTGTTTGCTTTAGAGATTTTAAATATTTAATATCATAACTATAAATGATTGTTCAATAATTACTTTTATGTAAAATTACTCCACTTGTTCATAAATAATCATATTCAAGAATGTTCACTGGCGGTGATCTAATGATTAAGTAGTGATTGGATTTTTATTATATATATATATTTGTAAAATATAAATAGAGAATAAACTGATGTGGCAAGTTTACCAATCTGAAAAAAGATTAAATATTTAAGGACCTGTTGAGACTAATTTACTTTGGTTGTAAAGGATGTTTTTTAATAAATAAAAAATAATGATGCATGATAGAAAAACTAAAAAAACTCCAAAGTAAATACTCTATCTTCATCTGACTGTTACAAAATATATATATTTTTATTTTGTGAGAGATTAAATTACAAAGTAACTATTTTATTAAATACTCAATTTTTTTTCATAAATACTTTTACTTTACGTCACATCGTTACTTTTATATAAAAAAAAGGACAAAAATATTATTGTATTATTTTTATCTATTTATTATAATTAAAATACTATTATTTCTTAAATTTCGTGCCAAAAATAAATATATATTTCTTACTTAGTCGAGGGAATAGAACATTTAAATTTGTTACAAAGAATAAGCCAAGTTGGCAATAAAGACTGACTATTTATTAAGGCACAAGAGGGTTGTAGACTTGTAGTGGTAGTAGTCTCTATCTTCACCATACTATGTTTATATTGATAGATAGGTATCTTATTTACTTCTATATAACTTTACGCCATCCCTTCCATGAATTCGAAGCAATTATGATGGGAAGAAGGAACATATCATTTCAACGTAATTAATTAACAAATATGTGTTACTAATTTCTCCTTTGTGATTTTCTTTACATTAAATATTTTATATACTTGTAAATTATCAGTTTCATTCTCTATAATTCATTTTCTATTCTATTTCGCAACAATATGATCAAATTTCATTTAGTTTCCATTCAATTCAAATGAAAATTAATTCTATGTATTGATATATATGGATGATCTTTTGTAGGAGAAAAAATGTTTCTTTTATATATGATTTTTTTGGGTTCAAATAGTAGTTTAAAGTACTCCATTTGGGCACAATCGACGTATTTCATTTATGACATGATATTTAAGGTTTGTTTAATTGTAATTTGATGTTAATTCGAAATGAATTATTAATTTGAGTTTTTGTTAAATATAACCGAATGTGATATTTTATAAAATGAAGTAATATATTTTTTTTGAGAAAATATGAGGTAAATAGCGTTGATTTGGATTCAAAATAAATTTTCTTATAGAAAAAACAGAGCTTAAGGTAGTAGATTTTAGTGAGTTTTTATTCTAGATAGACACTTTATAAAATGACAGTGAGTTATAATATTATTTTATTATTATTTTTTTTATATCGTAGTATTGTTGATACTTTTGAAATATAAATTAATATATATTATTAAAAAATTAGAATACATAAATTATTTTATTATTATTTTTTATATTGAAGTGTTGCTGATGACTTTTTTATTAAAAATATTCTTAAAACTATATATCAATAAATAATATATAATATAGATATCATTTTATATATAGTAAATTTTTTTATTATAATATAAATAAAAATATATGTATTTATTTATGATCAATATAAATTAATTTTTTATAAAATTACATAGTTATAAATATATATATATATAAATATTTATTTATTGAGTAAAAAAATTAAAATTGAATGAATTCCGCGTGTAATATCTTATAATTCAATTACGTATCAATTGTATTGAAATTTTTTAAGAGAAAATATGTCTATTGTTATGGGGTGATATGAAATTGGTTGTAAAACACAAACAAACACGTACATATGGAGGCAGGATAAGAAAAAATAGAGAGTCCCGATGCGTTCCGCTGTGCGTGCGTTCTAATTCTTGAGCTGATCTGATCTTATGGCGGGTTCATCTATTAATAAAATTAAATAAGGAGGACCTCAGAGCAGGCAGACAGATAGCTTAAATTAGCTCATTGTCGTTTTCACGTATGGTCCCTTTGTCATCCTAATGCTATGCTATGCTGCTGCTACGGCTACAGCTACAGCTACGGCTACAGGGTTAAATTTAGGCAAGTAAAGTTTTTTACAGAGAGGGAGTCATATGGAGTATATGTCAACTGGGAAGTTGCAGCCTTTCTCCTCGTTTAACCGCCGCTCACTATGCCTATCCCTATCCCTATCCCTATTCCTATCCCTATCCCTATCCCTATCCCTATCCTATCCTAGTCTTTTCACTTTTTATTTACTACTGGACTCAATCAGACTCCTTCCTTCCGGCAAAAAAGATACACTTTCACAGCTTTACTACAGTTTTGTTATTTCAATGTCGGATCGGATCCCTCATTTATTTATTTATACAAGTATTATCCAAAATGGGGATTATGGAAATGGTTCGAATGATTATCACTCGACCCTCTTTGGTATTTTAATCTAATCTCATTTTATATTATTATTATTATTATTATTATTATTATTATTGTTGTTGTTGTTGTTTTAGTGACAGTAATAATATATTTTTTATGTTTAAAAATAATTAATATTTTTGAAAATCCGCAGTTACTATTCTTTGAATGCATTTTTGAGTAACGGGTCATCTCTTGTTGGACCGGAAGGAGTATTATTCTTACTTGACGGTGTTTTTGCCTTGAGTTCTTTTTTTATCTATCTAGTGTGATTGCCAAGTTTTATAAGAGTTTTTGGTGTGTTTTGTTACCATTTCCAATTTAAAACTGACCAGTAACCAAAACCACCCTTACATAATTTTGTTGTGACTATTGAAAATCATAAAAAAATATCATAAAGAATAAAGATTTATATATTTTTGTTAATATTTATCTTCCCACGAGTGGGCTCACCATGGCATGATATAGGTAAATATACAAAATAATTCATTATGTATTTACAGTTAACTTTTACTCTTGAATTCTCAGTGTCCAGGAGAGTGACAATTCTATTTATTTATGGTAAAATATAGAAATTTTCTTTTTTCTATAGAAAATAAAAGTGATAATTGAAAATTTATATTGCAATAACATTTCAGGTTTAATATGAATCCCTATTAGATTTGGGTTGAACCTTAAAGATTTAAAGAACAATATAATTGGGTAGCAGATGAAAGTTTGGCATGATTGATTAAGTTAATCATTTAATATGTGAAAATCGAAAGATTATGAACCAATTGATTGAGAATCTTCTATAATGATTTGCATAAATGATTGGTGATTAGACTCTGGCTATTTTTCTCACCTAAGAACAATTAATTATTGTAGTGTTTTTTCTTCATTCACAAATCACATGCACACACATATGCTTGAGAAAGAGAGTGATATTTTTGTGACCATCAATTTAAGTCGTTATCATAAAAATGAATAGAGAATTTTATAGTCTTTGAAGTGATAACTGAAAAATAAGACAAAAAACAACTAATCATGGATAATACAATTTTATCCTTACTATATGTTTTTGTAAATTAATTAGTACTATATATTTATATTTGCATGAGTGAGAGTAGAATTAATCTTATACGTGCATGCATGTGACAGATAATTAGCTAGACAGATATCGACTTTTTTTTTTTCTCTTTCTCAACCAAATTAAATATCCTATTCGATGTCCCTTTTGCCTCTTCTATCAGGCATCTAAGGCACCTGAACTTCATTTTCTTCGATTATATATAATTCGATTCTATCTCTAGGGTTTTTTTAATATATCCCGTCGTTATCTTGAAGCATGTATTTAGTAGAACGATATTTAGTGAGTGGGGTATTTGATTTAGATAATTAGAGTAAAATACATATCTTGAAGTGAACTTAAATTTGAAGTTTATATTATGAATTCATGAAAAGTGTTTTGAGTTTTATTTGGTTTACTTTGTTCGTGATTTTGTTGAGTTTTGGTTTAAACAGTTAATTGAAAGAAAAAAACTAAATAAACAGAGCCCTTATAGTTGTTTTTAAGGAAAATGTGTGTTAGTATAGTTAAAAATGTTAGCCTCTACCTTATACTTTGCTATATAGAAAAAATCGAATAATTCACCATGAATCGTTTATATATATATATTTATGATGGTTGTCCGAGTATAATTTGAAATAGAGTGAGCCATTCTAGTAGAAGGTGTGTTTCTACATAGTTTTCACTTTAATTTTGTTGTATTCAATTGAGTCGAAGATAATTTATTTATTTTTCTTAACAAATCACATAATACTTATTATTCCTTCTAAATATAATGTCCATAGTGTATGTTGCATGTAAAATATTACACTTAGAACTTAATCCATTAAATTGAATTAAATCCGAAATATCTCAAACCATCGAAAATAACTTTAAAACATAAACAGACGCACCTTATATGTTTTTGGAGTTAGAAAATAAATTGGGGATGACTCTCTCAGCCTTAAACAGGATTATATACTGGCACACCTTCCCAATAGAAAAAAAAAAATCAATAAATTTGGGTTAGATAAAAAACAGCTGAATATAGTAAAAGTTATCCAGAAAATAAACTGGAGAACAACTTGGGACATGGTGCTGGAGATTGTGAATTTTGGAATTTATACAATAATAGATGCTGGGACATGGTGCTGGAAATTGTGAATGTTGGAATTTATACAATAATAG